CTCTCAATTATGGTCGATAAAAATGTGAAGTAACTCGTAAAAAGTTCTATTTTGTTAAAAATAAAAACATATCACTACAAAATTTTAAAGCATGGTAGCCTCGAAAGTTCACTGAAAAACCTGAACCATTTTATAGACTTCACAAAAGTTAGTAAAATCTCCGTAAAATCTCTAATCTTACTCGTAAATTGCAATGTCTATGAACGTGGACACTTACAGACATTTATAAACCCTGTACAATGTCTGTAGATTTGACCACATTTTACGTGACTAGATCGCATAAAATGTCCACGAAATCCTAATGTTTTCCTTGTAAAATTCAAGAAAAATTTGCAGCGATTTTAAAAAGTACGCACAAAAGTTTACCCATGTACACCCTAGTATCTCTGTATACCCTTGTATATTCTTGTTAACCATGTACACCGTAGTATTACTGTATATCCGTGGCCGTTATCACTACTTTATTGTGAACGACCTTTACCGTAAACCGACCGATACCTCCTTATGAAGAGTAAGCCACAATAATGATTTACTGTTACTGTTACTGTTTACCCATTTTTACCATAGTATTATTGTACACTGTATCCCCCTGTATATCCTGTTTACCCATGTTTACGTATACCTTTACTAAAAGCACGCTTCTTGAACGTTTTAAAGAACATAGACAAGCAAAGAACAATCCAATCCACGCTAACGCTCCATTTGAACTTCAACCTACACTTAGTATATCACACGGGGAAGCAAGAGAAGCTTACCTCATAAAAAGAGGCAAAACTCTTTCTCCAGATGGTTTAACCGCAAGGACGAATGTTGAATTGTACCTAATACTAACACTAGTACCTAATACTTTTACTTTATTGTGTAATTACTTACTTATCTATCATGCAATCTATTGTTCTCATTTTTAGTTTATCATTAACCTCTCATGTACATTTAAATTCGAATTTTATGTCCCATTAAAGTATTCTTTTTCAGTGTAGCTCTAGCCCTGAAGAAGGTTTTTTAGCCGAAATATTGTCCTCAAATAATTCAGCCCTTTGCCGTATTAGTCAAGGCTTTTTGTGATCGGACCTGCAAAAGAAGCTTTCTCATCTTTAATCAGTTATAAATAAGCTATAAATGAACATACTAAAAGTCACCTAAAGATCCAAGCGTAGGAACACCTCCAAACAGAGAAGTCCGTCTCCAATTCCAGGAAGTTAATATTATCGCGCAATTACATTGCTAGAAATCGAATCCTTTTTTTTCGAAACTATGAAAATGCTATTAGCAAGGTAATTTTAGAGTTCTAATCTTGCCAAAAGTCCAAAATAAAGTCTACCGGAGGTAGGAAAGGAGGTCTCGCCCCCCAAGAGCTTGCTCGAAGGCTAGCAGCGAGGAGAACACTGCATGCTGCTCTTACAGCAGATGAACCTCGTTACACTGGCAGTCTTACAGACCGGAGGAACAGTTGCATCTGATCAAATAAAGGAACTGTGAGGGCTAGGGGCAACGGTTGGCTGAAACAGGGAGTAAGTGATTGCTACTGACTTCTGATGCCCGAACCTCTATCGACATTCTTCATCTTCTCCCATATTTCTTTGTTTCTAACTCATTTTTATACATTGAAAATAAATAAAATATAAACCAAGGACACAACATAGATACGCACGAGAAAAGATTGACAAATTTCCTCAGGGCTGTTTCCTTAATAACAAATAAAAGCTTTAAGCAGTGATGTGCCATTAACTTGCTTCCTTCTCCAAGCAAAGAAAAGAGAAATTACTGCAATTAAACTCATGCAACGGGCACTTTAAGTATTAGACTTTCTCGGGGAGTAACGTTAACAAAATCTTTCAACCTATGCTAGTTTATATATATATACATATATGTATCAGTATGATGCACACAACTCGCGCAAAAGGCACACATAATTACATCAAGCTTCGTTTCCATGTTGTGCTTTAGGGGAGATATGAGGCCCTAATAAAACCCGTTTTTGGCAACTTCCCCTGCAGGCATTTTGAAAGAAGTTTTGATATGTCGTAGAAGACAAGTTGCTGAGTCATAAACCGTTAAAAAAACCTATCTTCCAAGAAGTGACAGGTTATTTATTTTCGTAAAATGCCTAGACTATATATCGCCAGCTTTGCATTCAGTTTGGTTGAGTTTAGGTTGGAATGAGTTTATTGAATTTAATAAAAAAAAGACTTGATGACTTTTAACTGTAATTTTTTTTTGAAAGTTCAACGCAGTAATTCCTGAAATAAGACCTAGGATTTAACTTAAATCTCGTCAGAACACGTCCCTTTTAATGAATTGTTGCGTTAAACAAATCATGATGCACGTAAGCTGGTATAATCGCACCGCTCAACAAAAACTCAGATCAAAAGGTGCTTCTTAAGGACAAATTTTCAAAATCAACGTCATGCATGTTTTTAAATGATATAGAAAAATGAACAGAGAATTGTTTCATTACTGGTCATTTGTTATGCGTTTTTAAAGGCCGAAAGACTACTCAGCCATTCAAATGCGACTAATTATGTGTTAATGGTGCCTGATCATGACATTGAAAAAAACGTACTTAAGTTTGTTCAAGGAGCAGATGTTCCTTTTGAATTCGGTCTAGAGAACTCTCTCAAACAGATTTTCCTGGAATAACACTAAGGATAACCTTTTTTAAACATTCGACTGGCTTAACTAGTATGTCTTAAGAGTGACCGGTCTTTTGAGAAGGAAAGCCCAATATAGCCCAAATATGGACAGTAGAAGCCTTCCTTTGGATAACAGCACTGTGGCCAACCGGGAACAAGATATTAATGAACTTCAAGACGATTATCACCAAGATTACTCTCCGTGTCCTTTGTTAGGTGAGATAAATGTCTTCGTAACGGTGGCCAAAACAGCAGCATATGTGGTGATAGCAACAATTTCGTTGATCGGAAATCTTTTGATAATAATTGTCAGCGGAAAATCGAATCGTACGCGGAAAGTAGCTTACAGCCTCATTGTGAACATGGCCGTTGCAGATCTATTGACTACAATTATAAACGTGCCTGAATCTCTTGTAGTGGAAATAAGAGACACAGACGAATGGATGCAAGGTGTAGTGGGTGTGATACTGTGCAAGGGCTTGCCGTTCTGCCAGCTTATCTGTGCTTTCTGTTCCATTCTTAGTTTACTAGGCATTGCGCTTGATAGGTTTTTCGCAGTTTGCCTGCACTCAAGAGAATATTGACCCGAAAGCGCTGTAGAATCATCATTGCAATCTCTTGGATGATACCCTTTATAGCAAGCGCACCGGTGCTAGTTGCAAATAACGTGACGAATACGGACGGTCTCCTTCTTTGTCTTGAGCAATGGCCAGCTCCTTTCAACTCAGCAAAGGCCTCCAGAGATTATACGACAATCCTTTTCGTTCTGTTTTATGTGTTGCCGCTTATCACTATGGCAACGTTGTACATTAGGGTTATCTATGTAATCTGGAAGCGAAAGCATCCGGGAAATCTCTGTAGCAAACACAAAATAATTCATTCCAGAAGCAAAAAAAGAGCTCTGAAAATGTTCGTGACGGTTGTTATTTGCTTTGCGCTATGCTGGTTGCCGTACCATGTGGCGTACTTTTTAACAGTCTACGATCAAAAATACTACAATTGTGGCCTTCCGGAAAATGTGGACTTTGTTGCACTCTTCCTTGCCCACGCTTCGAGCGCATTTAACCCATGTATCTACATGATATTTGATAAAAAATACCGCGTTAGCGCCAAGCGTATGACAAAAAACATTTGTTGTACCTTTATGTAAGGAAAGAAATTATCGTCAATACCTGTCAAATCTTTAGGTCACGAGAGTTAAATTGTTAAATAAATACTTTATTTTCCTCATGGAAATTTACCATCAGCTAATGTAACTTTCATTTAACCAGCTTGAGTAAATGCCCAATGGCTGGAGAAACATCGACTCGGCGGAAATAAATTCACTATACTACCACATTCACCAGAGATGTCGCCCAGCGATCAGTCACGATCAAGAGCAAAGCCCATAAATAATATAGGCCCGAGTTTAAAACAAACTCTTTTCGGAGAAATTCATTGACTAGACGAGCTAGTTTATCATGATAAAAAATTTATCTAATAACCGATTCTTTAAGAAAGGGACAATTCACAACAACGTACGAGAAACTACCATGAAAGAAGCAACTAGGATTTATGTCAGTTGTCAAGAAGATTCAGCAAATTATTTGAGATTATATCCGTTTTTCCCTTGATAACATAAAAAAGAGTTTTTTTTATTATTTTCTTATTGTCTTCATCTAAACTTTTTGTTATGCGGATTGACACGCGATTTTCCGTCCCCCGGGTCAAAACCGTACGTCCAGAGACGCGCAAACATTATGAAATGTAACATCCCAATTGGCATCTCACTCCACTGGATTTCGTTCCCATGGAGCTACGTTGCTGGGCAGCGAGCTCCGTTAAAGTGCATTGAGTAAAGTTATTAAAGTGCGTTGATTATGGAGCCTTAGCGTTTTCAGTTTGGACTCGGCCTTCATGCGCAGAGAAATTGCATTATTATTATTACTATTATTATTATTATTTGCATTTGTAGGGGACTGACAAAGAACGCTTATTTTCTGAGTCTGTAACAGCTATAGTTTTCGGTGGATATTCCTTATTTTCAATGCAATTGCAATAGGCCACTTCCGAGTGCCAAAAGCCCTCACGTGGCCACTCGGCGCCTGCCAATGAAAATGGCAACCAGTTTTGCTACACCAAATAATCCCCTCCTCCTCCCCCTCCCTTAAAACGAGTGAAATGTCCGCCATTTTTTGTTTTCACAAGCAAAACAACTCAGCCTCGTCCCCAGGTCTTCTCGGTTAACGGTGCATTAACCTGCAAGAACGCTGCGTTTTTGACGTCATTTCCTCGTTAAACACAAATTCTTCCAAANCCATTAACTTGCTTCCTTCTCCAAGCAAAGAAAAGAGAAATTACTGCAATTAAACTCATGCAACGGGCACTTTAAGTATTAGACTTTCTCGGGGAGTAACGTTAACAAAATCTTTCAACCTATGCTAGTTTATATATATATACATATATGTATCAGTATGATGCACACAACTCGCGCAAAAGGCACACATAATTACATCAAGCTTCGTTTCCATGTTGTGCTTTAGGGGAGATATGAGGCCCTAATAAAACCCGTTTTTGGCAACTTCCCCTGCAGGCATTTTGAAAGAAGTTTTGATATGTCGTAGAAGACAAGTTGCTGAGTCATAAACCGTTAAAAAAACCTATCTTCCAAGAAGTGACAGGTTATTTATTTTCGTAAAATGCCTAGACTATATATCGCCAGCTTTGCATTCAGTTTGGTTGAGTTTAGGTTGGAATGAGTTTATTGAATTTAATAAAAAAAAGACTTGATGACTTTTAACTGTAATTTTTTTTTGAAAGTTCAACGCAGTAATTCCTGAAATAAGACCTAGGATTTAACTTAAATCTCGTCAGAACACGTCCCTTTTAATGAATTGTTGCGTTAAACAAATCATGATGCACGTAAGCTGGTATAATCGCACCGCTCAACAAAAACTCAGATCAAAAGGTGCTTCTTAAGGACAAATTTTCAAAATCAACGTCATGCATGTTTTCAAATGATATAGAAAAATGAACAGACAATTGTTTCATTACTGGTCATTTGTTATGCGTTTTTAAAGGCCGAAAGACTACTCAGCCATTCAAATGCGACTAATTATGTGTTAATGGTGCCTGATCATGACATTGAAAAAAACGTACTTAAGTTTGTTCAAGGAGCAGATGTTCCTTTTGAATTCGGTCTAGAGAACTCTCTCAAACAGATTTTCCTGGAATAACACTATGGATAACCTTTTTTAAACATTCGACTGGCTTAACTAGTATGTCTTAAGAGTGACCGGTCTTTTGAGAAGGAAAGCCCAATATAGCCCAAATATGGACAGTAGAAGCCTTCCTTTGGATAACAGCACTGTGGCCAACCGGGAACAAGATATTAATGAACTTCAAGACGATTATCACCAAGATTACTCTCCGTGTCCTTTGTTAGGTGAGATAAATGTCTTCGTAACGGTGGCCAAAACAGCAGCATATGTGGTGATAGCAACAATTTCGTTGATCGGAAATCTTTTGATAATAATTGTCAGCGGAAAATCGAATCGTACGCGGAAGGTAGCTTACAGCCTCATTGTGAACATGGCCGTTGCAGATCTATTGACTACAATTATAAACGTGCCCGAATCTCTTGTAGTGGAAATAAGAGACACAGACGAATGGATGCAAGGTGTAGTGGGTGTGATACTGTGCAAGGGCTTGCCGTTCTGCCAGCTTATCTCTGCTTTCTGTTCCATTCTTAGTTTACTAGGCATTGCGCTTGATAGGTTTTTCGCAGTTTGCCTGCCACTCAAGAGAATATTGACCCGAAAGCGCTGTAGAATCATCATTGCAATCTCTTGGATGATACCCTTTATAGCAAGCGCACCGGTGCTAGTTGCAAATAACGTGACGAATACGGACGGTCTCCTTCTTTGTCTTGAGCAATGGCCAGCTCCTTTCAACTCAGCAAAGGCCTCCAGAGATTATACGACAATCCTTTTCGTTCTGTTTTATGTGTTGCCGCTTATCACTATGGCAACGTTGTACATTAGGGTTATCTATGTAATCTGGAAGCGAAAGCATCCGGGAAATCTCTGTAGCAAACACAAAATAATTCATTCCAGAAGCAAAAAAAGAGCTCTGAAAATGTTCGTGACGGTTGTTATTTGCTTTGCGCTATGCTGGTTGCCGTACCATGTGGCGTACTTTTTAACAGTCTACGATCAAAAATACTACAATTGTGGCCTTCCGGAAAATGTGGACTTTGTTGCACTCTTCCTTGCCCACGCTTCGAGCGCATTTAACCCATGTATCTACATGATATTTGATAAAAAATACCGCGTTAGCGCCAAGCGTATGACAAAAAACATTTGTTGTACCTTTATGTAAGGAAAGAAATTATCGTCAATACCTGTCAAATCTTTAGGTCACGAGAGTTAAATTGTTAAATAAATACTTTATTTTCCTCATGGAAATTTACCATCAGCTAATGTAACTTTCATTTAACCAGCTTGAGTAAATGCCCAATGGCTGGAGAAACATCGACTCGGCGGAAATAAATTCACTATACTACCACATTCACCAGAGATGTCGCCCAGCGATCAGTCACGATCAAGAGCAAAGCCCATAAATAATATAGGCCCGAGTTTAAAACAAACTCTTTTCGGAGAAATTCATTGACTAGACGAGCTAGTTTATCATGATAAAAAATTTATCTAATAACCGATTCTTTAAGAAAGGGACAATTCACAACAACGTACGAGAAACTACCATGAAAGAAGCAACTAGGATTTATGTCAGTTGTCAAGAAGATTCAGCAAATTATTTGAGATTATATCCGTTTTTCCCTTGATAACATAAAAAAGAGTTTTTTTTATTATTTTCTTATTGTCTTCATCTAAACTTTTTGTTATGCGGATTGACACGCGATTTTCCGTCCCCCGGGTCAAAACCGTACGTCCAGAGACGCGCAAACATTATGAAATGTAACATCCCAATTGGCATCTCACTCCACTGGATTTCGTTCCCATGGAGCTACGTTGCTGGGCAGCGAGCTCCGTTAAAGTGCATTGAGTAAAGTTATTAAAGTGCGTTGATTATGGAGCCTTAGCGTTTTCAGTTTGGACTCGGCCTTCATGCGCAGAGAAATTGCATTATTATTATTACTATTATTATTATTATTTGCATTTGTAGGGGACTGACAAAGAACGCTTATTTTCTGAGTCTGTAACAGCTATAGTTTTCGGTGGATATTCCTTATTTTCAATGCAATTGCAATAGGCCACTTCCGAGTGCCAAAAGCCCTCACGTGGCCACTCGGCGCCTGCCAATGAAAATGGCAACCAGTTTTGCTACACCAAATAATCCCCTCCTCCTCCCCCTCCCTTAAAACGAGTGAAATGTCCGCCATTTTTTGTTTTCACAAGCAAAACAACTCAGCCTCGTCCCCAGGTCTTCTCGGTTAACGGTGCATTAACCTGCAAGAACGCTGCGTTTTTGACGTCATTTCCTCGTTAAACACAAATTCTTCCAAATTTGGTCACAGTAACTGGTTATGGTAAATTATGCGGGTGCTTTTAGCCAATCAGAATCGGAGGAAAATTTTGAATGAATA